CATTCTTTAGTTCATTTTTTAGTGGGTACATATTTAAATTAGATTAAAAAATAGTTTTAATTTAATTTAAATAAAATTAAAATTGTTAAAAAATTTCTTGGAATGGCCGTCGGTAATTTATTACCCTCCTTAACTATTTCAAATATTTAGGACAATTGTTAGCCCAGGCATTGCAAAACGAAGGCGGTCATTCTGTTGTTCTTTTTGATTTAAACTTTTTTGCGTCTTTTCCTCATATAAAACTTAATGAAGAATTGACACAAAGAATTGAGGTAATTTTAAATAATGAAAATATTTTAGATAGGAATCATTTGTAGATTAAAAATAGTTAAAAAACAATTATGAAAATTCCGGAAAAATTAGAGAATTCATTGAAGAAAAATTAAACCACAAGAGGGAATCCAAATTAATTAAAAACTAATGAGGTTTTTTAATTATTGAATGAAGTATTTGAAATGGAGTATTTGCTAGTATCCCTCTTCTATCCCTCAATTTTCTCTCGAACAAGCTTTTCTTTTTAAAAATTATTTCTTTGTCTATATTTTATTTTAAAATAATTAAAGGGTTCCATTGAACGTTCTGATCAATTAATTGAAGCATTAACGGGATGTGATGCTTGTTTTCATTTGGCTGGTTATGGAATGAGTGGAGGGCCTTCGGTAATTTATTTAAAAATTAATTTTTAAATTAAAAAAATTATTTATTTTGTTAGTTAAACAAAGAAAAATGTTTTGCTATAAATTATTGGGGGACTAAAAATGTTATTGAAATCTGCAAAAATTTGGGTGTTTCTAGATTAGTGTTTACTAGCTCTGTAAGTTGATAATTATTTTAAAAAAGATATAAATTAAAAAATGGGACACATGAAAGTCCATGGGACGCATGTCCTAAAGTTGTGCCAAAATAAATTTTTATTGGGAATAATAAGATCCTCGGTAAATCCCTTGATATGTGGATCCTATATCCGAATCGAAAATTTCGGAATTTCCTGTCTTCTTTCGGATCTGGATATCCATTTTCGTCAGCCTTGTTTGAAAGATTTTCAACTAAATATCTATTTGTTTTTATAAAAACTATTTTGTCAAGCATGTTTATTTTTTAATCAAATAATTTCCAACCTCAATTAATTTATTAAATATTAATTTATACCTACTATTTTGTTTTATTTTTCTAAAACCTAAATAAATTAAAAAAAACTTTTTCTAGGTTGTAGTTATTTTTGATGGCCATACAGAGCTTTATATGGCAGATGAGGATACTCCATATTTACAATCCTCACAATATGGAAATTATTATGCAGAATCTAAATCTGCAGCCGAACAGCTTATTTTAGCTGAAAATTGTCCACCAAAGTTTTCAACTTGTGCGCTTCGATTGCGAGGAATTTATGGGCCTGGCGAAGTAAAAAATTATTCTTTAAATTTATTTTAATTAAATTTAATTTTAGTTGCGATGTGTTCAACGTTTTGTGGTGTTTATCTTTTCTATTTTAATTTTCTAAAAGTTGGGAAAAAGTTTTAAGCGAGGGTTCTCCTCTTGGCAGTTATTATTCCTAAGCGCTTCTCTCATTTTATTCAGATGCTTTACTGACCCGGGGCTTACCTACACCTAAGAACATTTCATTTAACTACTAATAGCCATCTTTTTTATAACTAATTTATTTATTAAAATAATTTAATTTTATTTTAGGATTTTCTTTGTAAAAATGTGTTAGTTACTTTTTGGAAGTCTGAAGTACCTTTAACTCAGTTCAGCAGTGCGGAAAATACTGTTAATGTAGGGTTTTGAATTTTTAAAATTAAAAGGGACGATGTTTAGAGTAATTAATCGAGGGTTTCTTTGCCCTTCAAACAAAAGTTATCCCAATAACCTCTAAATTCAGACAAATTTATATGTACATATATTCTTTTTAATTTAAAATTTTAAAGGCTCTTTTACTTTCTGAACAATCATTGCGATACCAGAACAGTCCTGCTGCAGGCAATAAATATCATATTGTAGATGCTGGTCCTCCTGTAAATTATTTTGTGGTTAAAAATTATTTTAACAAATTTTTAGGTTCATTCTTGGGGTTTCTGGAATCCTCTAGCTACAGCTTTAAATTGTTCTTCAAATTGTATTCGTGCTCCATATTCCGTTATTTATGCTTTTGCATTTCTTTGTGAGCTAATGTATCGCTGGTTTGGTATAGAACCACATTTAACACGTTTTGAATGTGCTATAGTTGGAATTACTAACACATTTTCGTGTCAACGAGCAATGCGAGATTTTGGTTAATATTTTTTTAAATCAACCACAAAATTTCACCTTTTTAAAGGTTATAATCCAATTCGTTCCCACGATCTACATTCTACTATAGATTTTTGTTTAAAGCAAAAAGAAGTCCAATCAAAATTAAAATCAAGACAACAAATTAACGAGAATAATGACAAGAAATACCCTATAGATTTAACTGTCTCATTTAATTCAATATTTTCACCAATTAATTGGATTTGGGTTGCTTGGATTGTTGACTCTATTTGTTCAACTAAAGGTGAAAAAATAAAAATTATTTGAAAGTTTTTTTTGGGTAAAATGGTTTTTGAAATAATCTACCATCCATTTTTTTATTCTTAGTTCTATGGGTTGAAAGTTTTTATTTTCCTATCTCACTCTATTCTCCCAGAAAACCTCAGATTTATTCTAACCTCAACTTAATTCACAAATAAATTTACCTAATTTAAAATCCAATTTTTTAAAGGTCTGATCATCCTATCAAAATGTGCATTTCTGTTTCTTTTACTCCTAATTGCCGGTGGTCATTTATTTAACAATAACATTTATGATAATTTAAATTCTACAAATTCAGCTGGAAGTGTTGCCCACCAAACAAGTACTTTTGTGGCTGCACATCGTTGGTGGACATTTTTTTGAAAATTTTTGGATGAAATTGCTATATTTAATTTTTTTAAATAATTAATTTAGGGTTACCTATATTCTTTTAAATTTTTCTATATATAATTTAAATGCTTTATTTCTGTTTTATATATATACTTTCTATCTGTACTTCTCCTATAATCAAAACCTACATAATCTACACTATATATTATTCAATTAAAGTCCCATAATAATTTTTTTATTTTTTAATCCCAACAATTTATTAATTGCAATTATACCAAATAAAAGTACTAAAAAGTTAATGTAATTATTAAATACAGTCAACAATTGCTAAACAAAATTCCAAAATTTTTTCAGAAATATTTCGATCAAACAAAGTATGAAAATAAGTATAAGGAAGCAAACAATTTGACTGTATATAAAAATTCTTAAGTAAGCATTTTTACAATTTATCAATTTAAAATAGTACAATTTTGATGTATTTATTATTTTTAATATGTATTAATTAAAGATGAGTAATATTTTTTAATCATTTTTACCCCAATTTTTATTTAAATTAAAAATTTATATAATTATTCCTATTAATATTTTACAAATTTAATTTTTTATTAATTAACACAATTTATCGATATTTAGTCATATAAATAAATAAATTCGTCTTTTTAATATTTTTGGTTAAAATTTAAAATTTTCGATTTCAATTGTCTGTTCTTCCTTAAAAGGGAAGTGAACAATAGTGTCGAAAGTCCTGTAAATTTTCGATTTTCCACTTAAGTCTATAAAATTTTAAAACACATGTAATGCTAAAAGGCATTTAGAACTTTTGATTGAAAGTTGTATCAATAAGGTCACACACACAAGGGCCTTAAATCTTACTAGATTTAGGCTTAGTGAACATTTCGGCTTTCACAAGGGCCCAATGATATTTGGCGCAAATATTTTATTTCCTTAACTTTTAACTTTGGTCTTTTAAAAAATAACCTTCAAATGTTATAAGATTTTTTTGTTAGTTTGTTAACTTTTAGGTTATGGCTGAAGAAATAACTTTGGCGCCGAGTTGTTTTACTAGATTTAGTAAGTAGTAAGACGATTGTCTTTTCAATCCAGAAGGTTTAGCAAAAGGTCTTACTAGATTTAGGCTTATGTGAACATTTCGGTGGCGTCAATTAGACGCCGATAATTTTTGGAGTTCGGGGCACGTGTAATTTATTTTAATTATGAAATAATATGTTTATTTAATCAAAATACATATTCTTAATATTTTTTAAAATTAATCAAAGAATAACCGGATCTCTCTTTTTTATCACATTTATTTTAATCGTCTTCCTCTATTTCTTTATTTAATTGTTGAATAGAAGGCACTCGCATATTTTCAATTCTTTTATGTAAATCGTTCAACTTTTGATGATTATCCAAAATTTGAGCATCCAATTCTTTTAACTACATAATTTAAAAAAATATAAATGCTCGTTAATTAAAAATAAAAATTAACTTCTTAATTTCTTAACTAACTTAAAGTTAATTTCAAAATTACTCTAAAATAATTTTTCTTTTGTTTATTCCTTTTCTAAAAATTTATTTTTAACTAAAAGTTTTTTTATCTTCACTTTAACTAAAAAATCTTTTAAAAAATTTACATGACTTCCCATATCTTCTAAACGAGCATTTATTACTCCAATATGATCAGTTAATTGGTTAATATGTTCCCTTCGTTGGCCTACTTCCTGCAAATTATCCTTTAAACTTTTTAATTTAAATTTTATAAATTTGTTTTCTTGCCTTTATTGTTTGATCTAGCCTTTCACGCGTTGCATCTATTCTTTGAATAAACTGAAAAAGAAAATTTTTTAAATATTATAATCCCTGGACATAATCTCTGGACTTAGACATACATTTTTATCATTTATTATCAACACCCATAATCAAATAAAATAATTTCCGAAGTGAGTTTTTTGGAATTAAAAAGCATTTTTCTGACTTCTTAAGAACCAAAATAGTCGATAAATAATTTTTAAATTTATTTTATTTTTAATATTTTATTTTAATTGTTAAGAAAAAATAAATTGTCGACTTTTTAATCCGTTCCAGAGAGGAAATTTTTGAAATTTAATAAAATACTCTATCTAGCATCCAATATTAACAACAAAATTTAAATAAAAACTCACAACTTCCATACAAACTTTTCTTCTACTTTCTAATAACCCACAAATTAATCCATTACTTGTATAAATTCTTGCACATTCATTAAAAGTTAAAAAATTTAAAATTTCATTAATTATTTCTGTTGGGAAAAGTTGACGTCTTTTTAAACGTTGAAATTCTTTTTCTGTTAAAATTTCTTCTTCTTCTTCCCCCTCATTTATTTTATTTTCTGATTTTTCAAAATTTTTATTCTCTTTTATTTTTAATTCAAAATCAGAATTTATTTTTAATTTTAAATTTTCTTTTTCTTCTTCTTCTTTAATATTCTGATTTGTTTCTTCTTTTTTATTTTCATAACGTGGAAATATTTTTACAGCAATTGGAAAACCTTAAATATTTTTTTAATTACTTTAAAAAATTAAGAATATTTATACAGAAGTTTCCTTAAATTTTATATGAAAAAACAGAAAAACCTGATTTTTTCGTTTAGAATACCGGGGAAGGCGGACAGATACATATTTAAAAAATAAATGAAAAATTTTGATATTGTTTTTTATGAAAAGTATTTAAACAATAAATAGCTTAAACCCAGTGCTGAAATTCATTAAACTAAAATTTTGTTTGCAGATCTTTTTTGCCCTCAAATAAATATTTTTTGAGGTTTATTTATCATGATTTTTAAAATAATAAATGAAAAATTTTGAAATTAATTAAAATATATATTTATTTAACCTTTTTCATTTTGAGACTTATCAGAAATAGAAGATTCACAATAACTCTTTAATTCATTCAAAAGCCGAAGGGATTGCATTTTTTTTAAATTTTTTTAACTAAAAAAACAAAAAATATTTTTAAATGTTTCTTTAATATGATTTTTATTTAATTTTTATAAATAAATACATATGTACATATTTGTCTCTATTTTTATCTTTAATTAGTAAAATATAACAATTTTATAAAGGGAAATAAATAAACAATTTATTTTAGTCTCTAATCAGTTATAAAAATACTTATAATTTTTAAATATTCTTTTTACTTTACTAAATTGAAAAATAAACCATAAAATTTAAGTTTGAAAATAAAGCGACTCCATAATCTTGATCCCTTCAATTTTTAGGGATTCGTAATTCACCCATCAAACAGATTTCCTTAGTTTATATGAGTTTTGAGTTTTTCGAATAAAACCTCAATCTCAATGATTAAATACGGAAAAAATTTTCTTTTTCTCTCGAGATACAAGAAGGTGTAAAAATACTTTCCCCTTTCTTAGGGAAAACTATTTCACCTTCCTATTCTTTAATAGGGAATTAAAATATCTTAAATTAATTATTCCCTCGGAATAATTAACTAGATAAAACAAATTAAATAAATAAACACAAACACAACTAAAATTCTTTATCTTCAAACAAAATAAATATTCACACAGAATATTAAAAAAAAATGAATATCTCAAAAGACATTGAAAAGTGAAATTTCTGCCTACTTTTTATAGGCAAAAATTTCTATATAAAAATGATGCAATGTTAAGTACATTGCAAAAAAGTACATAAAAAATTGTCAAAAATGGAAAGTGACTCACTGAGTCACCTCCAAAAATAATAAACAAAATAAAAAATATCAAAAATATTTCAAATCTTTAATTCTTCAATTTCGTCATCGACACTCCCCGCACAGAAATCCTCTCATCTCTCCATATTCTCAGTAGTTGCATTGAAGAAGAGAGTTGCACATTGATGCGACATATTGGCAAGTTCGTGTGATGATAATTGAAGAGCGCTTGAGTTTGTAGAAGAATTTGTTTTTAGCAATGACTTTGGTGAGGTGCTCTTGTCATTGCCTTTAATTGGACAATTATTTGTTGTATGTCCGAATGTGTGATGAGAAGAATACTTTTTCTTTTTGTGTCGCATTGAAGTTTTATTAATTAATTCTTTTACTTGTTGAGTCTTTATTGTTGGAGCAGAAGCAGTAGTTGAAATTAGAGATGAGGGGAAGTCCTGCGAGATAGTCCGAATGACCTGAAATTGCTTGATATGGTTTCTTTTTCTCTTTTCAACGGGAGATCTTTCCTCCTTTTTGCTATTCAGAATTGTCTCTCCTCGAAAACCTGGACAATCTATTTCATTTTCTCTAATTTCTTTTATCTGTACTTTATTCTTTTCAGGTATAGCCACACAGGCTTCTATCATTATATTAACATAATTATAGTTAATTAAATTTCTTTCAGTTTCTAATCTTTCTACACATGAAGAATGTGTACCTCCCGCCAACATTGTAATTATAAGTGCTGACGCGGCGAGTTTGTATCCGCGAAACAATGGATTATATTTAAAAAATAACTTTAACGCAATAGTTATCAATACAGACGATAAAATAATCATAAATATCATTTGTATACTAATCAATTCAAAGAGTATGTTTTTCCAATCAAGAAATTGCAAACTTGCAAATGGATTCGTCAACCAATTGTTTTCACTATTTTCTATGAATATTTTAGATGATCCTTCTTTTACTATAACCTTTGCCTTTTCTGGTAAAATAAATTCTAATTGTCCTTTTAATGTGAAATTTGTAATTCCTCCCGAACAATAGACATTACAAATCTCATTTATCTCCGAATGATCAAACGAAAGTGCAATTTTTTGATCAATCCCTTTTTCATTACATTTCGCTGTAAAGATATTGCCTCCGGGGCATTTTATCTCAGCGTAAGCCGATCCATATTCGGCGGAACAATTAAATTTAAAAACAGCTCCCATACAGCTGTAACATCCTCTTAAATATTCAGGATTTATTTTACAAATTGTAATATCGATATTGCTAGAAATTAGCCAATCTTCAAACCTTATCATTAACATGATTGGTAAATAGTTAGATTCACTAATAATCATGTTTTCCTTTTTTCTTAATCTTATACGATTTATCTCCAATGGTAATGATTTGCGTGGGTCTTTTATTAATTTTTCAATAATAAAGTCCGAACATGCGCATTGTATTTTCTCAATATCTTGTTCTAACCAGCATTCTTTACATGCATTAATTTCTAATTCACATTTTGAAAAATTTCCAGCATTTTCATAGCACTCTAGATAAGAATTACTATTTTCTGAAATTACAATTCCTCCCTCTCCAATGATAAATTCACTGTTTAAAACTGATGCCATTGGAGGTGTAACATCTAATAATGTAAATTTTATATCTTTCCATTTAAAAGTCATTCCTGGATTTAGCGTAAATCTCTTTTTTGTCATATTTCCATTCAAAACAAGTCCTATGTCTACTTCAATACTATAATCCCAAGTAGGACAGGACACAAGTTTGAAAATCTCATCTGACTTTGGGATGGCATATACTCTATAAAAATAGCAGTCTGCTCCAGGCAGTGAACAGCCATATCCCCAAAGTGATTTTCCTTCAATACAAAACGAATTACCAGGATAATCATTCCATTCTGATAATTCTTCAACATAATCTTTAGTTCTAATGTGATTGCATCTTCCAGCTTTACATGTTCCCGCGGCTGGGCATCTTTTGATTGACTGAACTTTTACCTCATATGATCTCAAATATCTAAGTATTTTCTGATTGCATTGGATTTGTAATCCATGCATTGACAATTCTAGCTCTCCCATTATTATTCCTTTATTATTCTTTAACGAGAGCGAATTTATTTGCTCATTTGGCAAAAAAGTCACAGTATTTACGGCGTTCATTTTGCAAGTAGAAATACCTGCTTTTCTTAGACAATCTTCAGATTTAGCTTGAATAACTACAACTTCAACTTCTCCATTAATTAATTGAATAAAATTTAAATAAATAGCCAATAATGCCATTAAACGTAATTTATTCAATCTTCTGTTTCTTTTTAATGTTTTATTATTTTTAACTTTACTTCTATTATTCAATAATAATTTTTTAGTTATATCTTTTTGTCTATTTTTCTTTTGTGCAAAAAATATTTCCATCGGCATTTTAACAATATTCCAAATTATTCTTAATAATTTTCCGAAAATTAACAAGAGTTTACAGGCAAATATTGCTATAGAGAGAATAATAGTCAAAATAAATCCCGTTACAATACCAATCAGTAGTAAGCTTTCTAATGATTCACATTGTGGGTTGACTATTCTTTCACGTAAGCCTGATATTCTTATACATGGATCAACTGCTGGACATGAAATCCAGTCTCTGTACATGTATCTTTTGCCCCAATAAGTGGCTCGGCATTTATAATCCAATGCTGTTTTATCTTTTGGAATTTTAAATGCTAATCTTGACAAACCATTTATTTCTAAAAGGCAGCTTCCTGCACAACACAATTCAATTTTATTTATATAGTCAACTGCGTTAGCTTCAACGCCGAAAGTTCTACATTTCATAAAACATCCTTTACAATTTATATATCTTGGTGGTTCAGCAAATGCAATTGCAACCATATATATTAATTGTACAAATTGTAGGCACAAAGCCACTTTTGATCTTGTAACCATCGGATGCGTATTTTTATTTTTAGTCACCAATTTTTCAGTCTCTTTTTTACTCAAATCTACTTCATTTTCTTTTTCATTCTCATTATTTAAATTTTCTTCTACTATATTCTCATCTTCAATCTCCAAAGGAGAGATTTTATTAATCGGGCGTATAAAAGTTTTATCTCCAATTTTTATCTTTGCGCTTCTAGCTGGAGTTCCATCCAACTCCACTATTTTTCCTAAAGGCCAGACATTGCGAGGTTGTCCTTCTTGATGCATAATAACAACTTCGCCAATTCTTGGATTTCTTTTTAAATCATTTCTTTGATTGTGATGAGTCCACTTCGACTTATCTCTCAACATTATGAGATAATCACGCTTCCAGGTATCCCAAAACCTCTGAAGCGTTTTTAAAGTGGCCATCCATCTTTCTTGAACTTGTTCGGCCGTGCTCATTTTTCCTAGCCGAAAATTATCGTCTTCAATTTCTGGAAATTTTTGAATAATTTCCACTCTTGGTATTATAAAATCAATTGGCCTCAAGCATAATGGGCCGTCTTTTTCTAAAGATATATAAGAAATAGGTCTACAATTTATAGACATTTCTACCTCCTTTATAAATGTTCTTAACTCTTCTATATTTAATATTCGACTTCCCAAAGATCTTTTAAATGAATCTTTAACTAATTTTACTAATCGCTCATAAACGCCACCCTGCCATGGAGACAAAGCAGGTATGAATTTCCATTCAATCTCTTTTTCTAATAAAAAATTATTAAATAACTTTTCATCATTATTTGCTTTTTCTTTCTTCCATTTACCTTCAATATTGGCATTTATTACTTTTGCAACCGTTATAAACTGATTGCCATTGTCCGAAATTATTTTCAATGGTGCGCCTCTTTGCGCTACAAATCTTCTTAAAATATCCAAGAATGAAAATGCAGATAGATCTGTAATTATGTCTAAATGGATTCCTCTTGTTGATAAACATGTAAAGAGCGCAATCCAAAACCTGACTTTTCCTCCTTCTATTTTGCACATAGAAGGTCCGAGATAATCCACTCCAACAAATTCAAATGGACGTGATTGTCTTACTCTTTCTTTAGGCAATATAGGCATATCCGGCAGTGCAAATTTAGGCGAACTAATTCTTTGGCACTTTTTGCACTCTTTTATAACAATTTTAGTTATGCGCCTTGCACATGGCGTCCAAAATTTCATTAAAAAGTTTGCAACTGTTGAGTCAACTCCCGAGTGACTCAATTCTTCATGCATTTTTCTCAATAAAAGTTTTATAGCAAAACATCCCTTAGGTAATAAAATCGGATGTTTAAAA